TCATTAAGACCTCTCACTACTGGGACATAGGGAGTCCCCACAGAGCTGTCCTTCATGGCATTTGGAGTTCACATCCCTTGCATGGACTTCCTTTGTTGTGCCTCCACCTATGTCCTGCATATAGCAGAACCACCCTGATTAAGCTACCTGGAAATTTGGATGTGATGAAGATCTCTCACTTAAGTAGCATCAATATTCACTTAGTCCAGTGGGTTTTGAATCCATTATGAATTATATGCCTTTGCAATACTGGTGAAATATCCATTTGTATCTGCTACAGGGCTGCATTTCCACTTCCAGCCTAAATCTACAATTTATTAAGTACTTTGGAATCGTGAGGCATGTAAGTTTCTATACAAATATAAATTTACGAGTATGCCAAACAATGGCTTCCCCTTGCACTTTCCAGGTCAAATTTATCCATCATGTCCTTGCTTTCAACCTTGCTTCTGCCTACAGTATCTCTCTATGCTCATTTCTTTCCATTCTACCCTCACATGCTTCATCCTGCCCTAACGCCACATTTCTGTCTGCTTTATGTCCTTATCCACTCTTACTTTTGAGTCTTGGTACTTCAACTCTAATGCCTCCACCAATTGTTCCTCCTTAAAACACACTTTACCCAAGTGGCCTATCAACCCCCATCCAGTTCTAATAAAGTGTTCACACAAAAGGAGAGAAAAATTCTCTGAAAAGGAATGGCAGACCACACTGTTTCTTCCCTTTCTGCATTTTTGGTATGTGTGTATTTGAGATCAATGGGAGTGTTGCCCAAACAAGGATTGAAAAACTGAGTAAGGACTTCCAAATTTGGCCCAACCATAAGTTGTCATTATTAATAAATATTTTAAAGTGAGACAAGTGAAAGGAAGTGGTCATATTACATTCCAGACTGCTATTGCCTATGGACTAGTTATATATTATATTGTATACACTAAATAAACTGCATCTCTTCAGTGTCAGAGGCCTCTCTTTCTACCTATCTCCCTAGCGTCTCTGAAAAGCCTAGGAGGCTTTTGATTACTAATGTCTAGTTTGGAGTGAACTCTATTTGCATAAGTGCATGATATTATCATATATAGGTGCTTATGCAAATGCATAAACTTAAGTAAATGAAAATGTTTGCATAATTACCAGCACTTGACACCTTCCACATTTCTACGGTGATGAACTGTTTTCAAGGAGCTGTAGTTTCAGATCTGGTCTAACTGACAATACCCAAGGAATAATTTCTCTAGCTGGCTGAAACATCTTGCTTCATTTTCTAGGTCAAAGGATTTTTTCCCTATAATTGACTGTGAATTTGAGCACTCTTCTTTTGTCTCAGTTCTGATTTTTTGGGGGGAGTAGGGTGGGATGAAGGGCAGGGGGTCTATGACGAATGTGTACAGGACATTAACTGTGAGGGGGAAAAATACAGTGGCTGGCTGTATTATGCAATTTGCAAAATCTTAAAGGGAAGGATGAGTAGACTAGTTATTTTTAGAGGGTTGTTAGTGAAGTGACTAGTGTGAATGTGTCTCATTCCTCTCTACTGAATGGAATAAAAATTTCTCAGCTGTGTCATGGGGCCTCTGTTGCTGACTGCTGAAGGAGGTTCTCCTTTATTCAAGTGATAGAACACTGTGCTTTTAGAACAGTAAGATCTGAGTTCTATCCTTGCTCTTGTCATGAAGTTCCGAAGTGTGTTGTGTCCAGCATAGTAACAAATCAGTTCCTAGAAGGTGATGGATATGTTATAGTATTTAAATTATCTAACATGTTTGACTCCACATTAAAAAATTAGAGGTAGATAGTGTGATGTTGCACTCCATAATGCTTTATAGAAATATGCTTATGAGTGTAAATATGACATAACTGGAATATGTTTTATGCTAGATATGCCATGCAACATATCTCTGCAAAGGTTATGATCTACTGGATAGATCATATTCATCCTATTTACATTCATGTATCATTTTTGTATTCGAAGTTATGAATATTGGCTATGTACTTGTTTGATTTTAAGTAGCCTCAGTGAAACAGTTGGTCAGCTTCTTGAGAAAAGACTATTCTCAGTAAGTGCACAATCAAGAAACACTTAAGCTAACAATGAACTTTAAGAGATGCCAATCCACATCTCAGCTTCTCTGGGAATGTAGCTCAGCCTGTAAAGTTCTGAGTCATCTCCTTATCTTATAGGTTTTGAACTATAATTCGCATAGTGGTCAATGACGCAGCTGAGACAAGGTGGGTGAGGTAATATTTTGTATTTGACAAGCTTTCAATCTTACACAGAGTTGTTCTTCAGACCTAATCTGTGTAAACTCAAAAGCTTGTCTCTCTCACCAACAGAAGTTGGTCTAATATATTACCTCCCACACTTTGTCTTTCTAATATCCTGGGACCAATGTGGCTACAACAACATTGCATACAATGATGCAATTGGTCAGTTGGAGTTTAAAACAGCACATATTTATGAGGCAAAAAGGACTGATGGAATGCTGAAGAAATTATTCCTATTCTCATTTTGCAAATTAGGAATTGGGCTTTCTGAACTAAGGGGAAAACTAGTGGCAATCCCAAGGACTTGGTAATGAATTCCACTGGCCTTTCATTAATGCAAATACGTAAAATAATCTAGAAGGGAAAGAGGATATAGTCTATGCAGAAAAAAATCCGCTTGGCTGTCTACTGATCTCATACATTAAACATGATCACAGTGAAAGCTGACCGCAATATATATTTTCATTGTTCTATACTTCTGAAGCATCCTCTCTTTAAAAGATTCCCTTTTAGGATTTAATTCACTCAGTTAAGAGCAGCAGTGCACAACTATTCATGCATCCAAGTGTCCTGTTCAAAATGTAACTTGGGTGATTACATTATGTCTTCCTGTGGCTTGAATTGTTTGCCATCTGCAAAATTGCCTGTTTGTCAGAGCATCTTTAGCAAAACCTCTACACCGCAGAAAGCAGATTTTTTAAAACATTAGATAGCTTTATAATGAGTCACATGATATTAAATCATGGATCCAGTGATATCAACTATTGGCAAGGGTAAAAATGTTTTCTATCATTGGTAAAAGCATAGATGGAAATTATTTGCCCTGTTTTATAAGCTAGTAAAGTGATGTGAGTACCATCCTCCTATATTCTTATTAGTCTGTGACCTAACAATGCTCAACAATGTTTGTGCTGTTGACCACTTCCCAGAATAACAACTAACCTGCTCAAACTCATTATACCATTATAGCTAATAATAACTTTCCATTTACTGATCCTGCTAGCCCAGTAGTTTAATTTTTATTACTTCAAAGAAACCACAGTCTATTAGTAGCAATTAATTGGCTTTACAAACACTTCCCAAATAGTCAGGGGCGGCTCTAGCTTTTTTGCCGCCCCAAGCACGGCAGACAGGCTGCCTTCGGCGGCATGCCTGCGGGAGGTCCCTGGTCCCGCGGATTCGGCGTACCCACTGCCGAATTGCTGCCAAATCCGAGGGACCGGTGGACCTCCCGCAGGCATGCCGCCGAAGGCTGCCTGACTGCTGCCCTCGCAGGGACCGGCAGGCTGCTCCCCGCGGCTTGCCGCCCCAGGCACGCACTTGGAGCGCTGGTGCCTGGAGCCGCCGCTGCAAATAGTCTTATTGAACAGAATGAAGATATGTGTGAGCTCTCTGTTTAATTTGCTTTTCTTACCCTAGTCTTTATATTAAATATTTTGGCATTCCAGTCCTCTTAGAACTAATAATTGAAAACATCATCCCTACATGGGAGCAATTTTCACTGCTGGAAATGTTAACAAAAAGGAAATTTCAAGAAATTCAGATTTCAAGTCTTTCCAGTGACTAGCAGACCTATGGAAAATGTTGCCTATGTCCAGTGTAAATGAGAAAATATTTCGTTTTTTAGTGAATAAGACATGACTACTTGTGCATGGCAGTTTCTGGCAGGCAGTCAGGCTTTGTAAGCACCTTACTATAGAAGAAGTAGGCTGGAAGTACTGTAAAACTTTTGATCAAGTCCAGTCACATGTACAGTAACTGCCATTGCCAATTGTCTAACATTAATGCTGACAAGAGATTTGGGGTTTTTTTTAAACAATTTAACTGCATTCTTGAGTGGTACAGTAGATGATAGTTTAACTTCTTACCAGTCTGGTCAGGAGAAGGGTCGAATTTAATTCCTGGAGTGCTGCCTGTGTTTTTATAAGCTGGTGGTTGTCTCCTACTGGGATGCTCCATGTTGCTGCCTTCTGATTGTTGCTGATCAGACCCAGCAGAGCTGTGAACCAAGAGGGGCTTGTTTGGCAGCCCTGCTACATAATTGTCTATAAAGTGGAGCTTTCGATTCTCCCCTCCAAAATGAAGAAAAAGAGACTCAAAGGATCTGCCCTGTTGGTCAACTGCTTTTTCATTGGGTTTTGGCAGACGTATATGGGAAGAAGTTCTGCTGGGCTTACCAGTGTATTTGGCCCTGTTACCAAGCAGAGGATTGTTTCTGAGTAGGTTTTTCAGCTCTTGCAATGTTTGTTTGGAAACTCCAGACCCCAGCATGAAAGATACTTCAGTGCTTTTTTCCTGGGTTGCTAAATTATTACCTTTATTCTCTTTCTCTGTTGCATCCTCCTCTTCTTCTTCTGTTCCCCCACATTTGTCCTCATTACTTGCTGTCTCTGTCACCCCAAATTTATCTTCTCTGCTTGCTACATCTGAACCCCCAGATTTTTCTTCTTTGCTCTCAGGCTCCGTTCCCAAAGGCTGATTTCTTTTGCTTGATGTCTGTATTCCCTCAGGTGTCTCCGTCTTTCTTTCTACCATTCTTCTCCCACCTTCATCATCTTTGTAGACTTCTGGTTTCCTCAATATGTTCTCTTTCACACTGATTTCTATAGGGAAGCTCCCATTTCCTCCCCCCTTTTGATCTTGTGTGTGAGGGAAACTAGATGTTTTTTGAAGGGATGGACTTGCAGGTGGTTCTACAGGACCAGTTGCTCTTTGCAGATACGAATGATCTGGGGTGTTTGTAGGGTGGGAGATCTCCATTTTCTCACATTCTAATGGGAGAATGTATTTTGCAGTGACTTTGACTCCTCTTGTCCTTCTTAAACCACATATACTGCCGCCATCAGCTTCATCATAGTCATTTCCAACTGTTTTCTGTAATCATCAACAAAATATACAGCCAAATAATATGCATGAGTGAAACAAGGGTAGAGTAATACAAGACAGGGAGTAGCACCAACAACTGTATTTTATTATCACCTGGGACTTCTGTTATTTCTTGCTGAAAAAGAGTTCTATGGGGGAAATTACTTATAATTTCTGTATAATTTCCATATAATTTTCGTATAATTCAGCTTCTCTGAAGATATCCTCTTGAAGGATTCTTACTGTGGGGTTTTAGCTCCTTTAGAGCGAGACTCGTTCAGGTCCCTATTCTTCAGGTATTTTGGCCATTGAGGGCAGGTTTAACAGGGTACAGCACAAGCGGGATTCCCTGCTGCCTAGTATGTGCCACCCCTTGCCAAGCATAAATGTCCTTTAAATGTGAACAAAATGCGTTTTTAATATAGCCAAATGCTAAATTAATACATCTAGGAACAATGAATGCAGACCATAACTACAGAATGGGGAACTATATCTGGGAAAGAAGTGACTTTGAAAAGGATTTAGGAATCAAACTGGACAAGCAATTGAACATGAAGCTCCCAGTGTGATGCTGTGGCAAATGGGCAAATGTGATCCTTGGATGTGTATATATAGGGGAGTAGAGAGGTGATTTTACCTCTGTATATGGCATTGGTGAGATCAATTTTGGAATACTGTGTACAGTTCTGGTGTCCTCATTTTTAAAAGGATGTGGAAAAGCTGGAGCGGGTTCAGAAAAGAGCCCCCAAAATTATTTGAGAGCTGGAGAAAATACCTTGCAGTGATAAACTTAAAAAGCTCAACCTGTTTAGTTTATTGAAAAAGAAGATTGAAAGGGGACTAGATTAGTGTGTGAGTAACTGCAAAGGGAGAAAATACCAGGTATTAAAGGGCTCTTTAATCTAGCTGAGAAAGGCATAACAAGAACCAGTGGCTTGAAGCTAAAGCCAGACAAATTCAAATTGGAAATAAGGCTTATATTTTTAAGGGTGATTAACCACTGGAACAAACTACCAAGGGAAGTGATCCATCTCTTGATGTCTTCAAATCAGGACTGGATGCCTTTCTGGAGGATATGCCTTATCCAAATACAAATTATGTTACTGGGCTCAATAGAGAGGTAATTAGGTGAAATTTAATGGCCTGTGATGTATAGGAGGTCAGACTAGATGAACTAATAGTCCCTTCTGTCCTTAAATTCTATGAAATCTATGTTCTGTTCAGTTTCTCCTACTCAGCAAGGGCAAAGCACCCAGAATGAAACACAAATTTGAAATGATCAAAAATGTGCCTCAGGGAAAGACAAAAAAGGGTGTGAGAGAAAAGCCTCATGAAAAGTAACCTTATCAATGGGAGGAGTGAGAATCCTGCAAGATGATATCTTCAAAGAAAAGAATTACCAGGTATGTAATTTTCCCTTCTCTAAAGATGCCATCTGGAGAGCAAGAAGCTTTAGGGATGGCCTAGGAGAAAATGAGGGTAAAGCCACAACAAGCAGCAATAACAAAGTTAATGCCAACAGTTCAAACAGCTAGCTTGCTTTTTTTAAATAGCATTAATAATATAGAGAGGATTTTACACATGCAACACCATGCATGACATTCAAGTCTGCAGAAATACATAGCATTCAGTGGGAAGAAAAAGAGAAAAAAAAGCCAGATTAGGAATATCCCAAAATAAAACTACACTATTATTACAAACAACAACAAATACGACACAATAGCAACTTTTACTTTAAATGTATATAGGGGACTAAATGACTTAGCCAAGGTCCTCTTGGTTTGCTTGAATCAGCCTTGAATGTATAGCTAAAAAGCTACTGGGAAATCATTAAATGTTCTGAGTTTGAATTTTATCAATATACTGAAGACATTCAGGTCTATGCCGTCAAACTCTCCAAACTTATATTCTACACTTTCATTGTTTTCTGTGGTGTCTGAAAGAACTAGGGGTCTGGATGAAAGAAAATTGGATACTAGTCTAGATAAGACAAACAAGTTGTTTATTGGCAGATGAAAACATTTAGAACAATAGATGGTGTCTGTAGCACATATTGACAGTAACATTTGCCCATCTTCTGCCAACATGATTAATGGCTTCCTTTTATCTAGGTTCCCTCACTACTCTTTGATTAGTGGTGATGGCCCATTGTACCTTTGTCCAGCACTGTCTGGCCAAGATGGTGTGACTTGTCCTCTCCTAAAACAGACCTCGCAATAGTCTTTCAAACCTCTCTCATCCTCACTTTAGACTACTGTAGTGTGCTCTACTTAGTACTATCTATAAATGCCACCCAGAAGCTTCTGCTACTATTGTATACAGCTTGCTGTCAACCTTCTAAGTAGGACAAGCCACTAGAAACACATAACACCTGTGCTCAGATCTCTACACTGGCTTCCTTATGATGTCCAGGTGCAATTAAAAGTCTTTAGTGGGAGCATTCAGCACAGAAGTTTTGCTTACCTCAATTTTCATTTAAAATATACTGTTCTCCTTTAATGCATCTGTGTCAAAAAGCTGCTATATTTTTTGCTCGTTTGACTCCCAATAATAAACAGGCCCATTTCTTAGAGCTGTGCCAACATTGCTATTGCTGGAAACAAGGAAGCAAACTAAAAAGCCACATACATTTAAACTTCCCCATTATCAATAGAGGAAATTGACTGGGGAGTATGGGGGACAATGTTTGCCAAATGGGAAAAGACACAAAATCAATAGGAAATAAAAACTTTCTAAGGGGATTCTACAAATAGAAAAGTTTTCTTTGAAACAAAAAAGAGAAAAGAGATCAAGCTAAGAAATTTTCTTGACATGACTGTATTTTTAAAGAATTTACTGAAATGGTAGACCCTCTTTCCCTGGCAGAGCCTGACATTATAAAAATATTATCTTTTCTAAGTGGTTTCTTTTTTTAAATTAGCCTTTAAAAATTCCTTTGTTTTCTGAATAATTTGATACCGTTAACTTATTCATAACAACATCTGTATTTCTTTTCTGTGCTTCCTAATGCAGTCCTATACTGTTCAAGGCTGTCCATTTCAAAAAACTTTAATCTACTCTTGGATATGTCAGGTGAAGCAGAACTCAAGTCTAGCATGATGTCCACAGTGCTGATCTCTGAAAAGTGTATAAATTGAATGTAACTATGGTAGTGATACTGACAGCAACCAGGAGATCTGACCATATACTTTCAGTTCTGTATGACAACCACATTTGTGATTGCTAGACAAAATAGGATCACTTCAGATCAAATATACAATATGAGAAAACCATCCACCCACAGTAATGCCATTCTAAACATTTTCATAAACACAAGTTATAATCCATACTGCAAGAAATAGCCCCTTCCAATTAATAGACATGAGGGAAATTACTGCCTACATATATATCTACTAACAGAAAGGTCCCAATGCAAATATGCTAAGATCTTACAGATCTGGGGCACTGTGTCAAGGATTTTTATTCCATAAAAGAAACTGGGACCTTGGGACAGATATTTTACCAGTCTTTGAAGGGAAACTGTACCCATTTCCCTCAAAGCGGCACACCTGTTTTTTAAAAAAAAATACCCCACTCAAAGGGTGAAATTTGCTATGATGCTGAGAACACACAAGGCCTAGCACTATTCAGGTCCCTAACATGAGGCTCCAGGGGTACCATCTCTTGTCCCTTTGCACGGGGATGAATGTCACCCCCTATGAATAAACTCAAAGATATATGTATATCCATCCATCTATACATAAAATATGGAAGTTCATTTGGAAAGATTTTGAAACTTTAGATTTCTGAAATGAAATAAATGGACCTATTTTTCTTTCCATGTCCTAATGCAGCATTCTTTCATATTAAAAATTAAAATGTTCATTTGTATTTATGACTCTAGGGCTATGAGACAGTTTAGCTGTCAAGGGAAAAGCTATACTACTTCTGCATGAAGCCAAATTCCAGACCTGGTCATGTCTACCCTGGGGATTGGCCCCAGTTACAGCTTTCCGTATAGCTGCACCTCTACAACCCCTAGTGTCAATAGGTATAGTTGATATTGACACTGGTGGAGCTTACTCCAGTTTCAAGAAGGGATAAGCTTCATCAGTCTAAACAGGACCTTTGCCCATCTATACTATAGGTTTCCTCCAGTGCAGTTACTCTATTGGCTGGACACCAATAGCTGCAATCAAGGCTAAATCCTCAATGCAATTGCTACCCTCAAATAGGTATATTGTGGCGTGCTTGTGGGGTAGCATCAGGGCCGACTCCAGGCACCAGCATAGCAAGCAAGTGCCTGGGGCAGCCAATGAAGAGGAGGGCGGCACGTCCGGCGTTCGGCGGCAATTCGGTGGCGGGGCCATCACTCCCTCTGGGAGCGAAGGACCTGCTGCTGAAGGCGATCGCGGCTTTTTGTGTGTGTGCTTGGGGCGGCAAAAACGCTAGAGCCGGCCCTGGGTAGCATCTGAATATCTAGCATTCTCCTGTGAAGTGCTGCCTTTCATTGCTCTTGTTGCAGAAACATGTAGGAAGTGGTTCTGAGTGCAGAAAGTGTCATCAAACACAATTTTTGACATTAGAGCATGTGAAATTGCCATCTCTACCCTCGGCAGTCCACTTGCATGCCAATTCTAGCATGCCATCAAGCTCCAACAACTGATACACACTTTATGCTATGCAGTAAGATAAGGCCCTTAAATAGAAAGAAAAATTTCTTAATCAATGTAGGTTATTCTTTAAACATTATAAAAGCTCTGAAATAGGGATTAACTGAACTATAATATACAGCACTGCAAAAAAGGCAATTCACAAACTGCATTGATCAGTCTGAAAACATTTGGAAGTGAATAGTATTGCCTTGGGGGGGGGCACACACCAAATGCTGAGAATTGTATTATGTGTAAAGCACGTGAAAATTCAAGTAAATTCTTGAACTTAGGACCATGCAAAGTGGTGCAAGTAGTGTTGAGCAAATGCACCAAAGTCTTCAAGATCATTCCCTGTCCCTGGAAGCAGCCAAGATAAGTAGAAACCCTCCAGCACTTCCTCCCAGTGACTAAGAAAGAGAGGCATGGGGGTGGATATTAAAACAAATTCTCTGCTAATGTACATTGAGACCTCCACTAAAGTCAACAGAGATGAACAAATTTACACCAAGAAAGATTTGGGCCCATTGTAGTACATGAAGTTGCAGAAAGCCACAAAACGTTTCCCAGAATGAAGGGTTCCCATGACTGGAAAGGCATTTGGCAATTCTGGCACATTATAGATTACTATGTACTACTGGCACAGATGACAGTACATTGTCAAGACCTCACTGAATAGTTTGTTTCTCTGAAGTGATTCTTCAATTCTTCAAGGTTGAATATCACACTGAGTTATAATAATAATACATCTTCCAACAGAGGATCTCAGAGCTTCATAAATAATAACTGAGCCTCAAGACTTATCATTTTCAGCTAGAGCAACTGAGGCACAAACTTGCCCTAGGTCAAATAGTCTTTGGCAGAGCTGGGAACAGACTCCATGTCTCCTGGCTCCCAGCCATGTGCCTCGACGACAAGAACATCCTGCTCTTTAAAATATCCAGGTGCAGTGGAAGAGATTCCCACCCAAGTGAAAAAGAGGTTAAAGAGCTCCTCTGGGCACAATCAGCCCCACCCTGGTACACCTGGGAGGGCTGGCAAACCTGGAGAAGGGCAGCTCCTTAAAAGGAGTGTCAGATGGGGTGGGGGGGAATCCCAGGGTGGGGAACGGGTCCCAGCCATGTGTGTCTGCACAAACAGCAACCCACCTTTCTATGGGGTTAGCGCTAACCTCTGTAACAAGTACCACACTTTCCAATAGAACAATATTCAAACTCCTTGCTCCCAGCACAGCATACAGCACACAGTTCCCCCCACCCACACTGCTCCAACACCGAGCTACACATACGCAGATTCTTCCCCATGCCAAAGCAGACTCCCACTGGGTCAGTCCAAACTGTCCATGCACTCTGACACTGGCATATATAGTGTGCTCAAACTGGAGCTTCTTGCTGTGTGGACTCAGCTGTTATATCAGCTCCAGGATGGGCCTCTCTAACCATCTCCTTTTGCAAGCAGCAGTGTGTCAGTTGGCTCTCCTCCAAACAGCTCCTTGTTCAGCCTCTGCACCTCTGCACTTTGGTGTCTCCCTGCCCCAGCTCAGCAGCGCTGTTTCAACTGCTGCTTTTTCTTTGTTCTCCCTGCATATCTCCCCATGCATGTCCCTGCATCTGCTCATTGACTCAGACCTTCCCAGGTGATCTGTAGTTAGTTCTGTGTCCTAGCTTTGGAGGGCACATCCCACCCAGCCAATCAGGTTTGTGCAGAGTCGCAGGAAGGGGGGTGGAGGGGAGAGGAGAACCCAAGCCCCGTGGAAGGTGGCACTCAGAGGGAAGTAGAGCTAAAGCACAGAGCTCCTTAGCTTTGCTTTTCATTAGCCCCCAGGATGCTCAGCCTGGACCCCTCAGACACTCAGGAGTTAGGAACCCAGTCCCCTTCATAGACACTATTTACCTATTTTCTTTGTGCAGAACAGTGGGGAAATCCTGAACTGTTTTGCAGGCTGCCGGATTATTTAGGTTGCCTTTTCCTTTGTTTTAGATTGCGGGCATACCCAGAAGGGAGGAGTGCCTCCCTATGGTTTATAGCTGGGAGACCATGCCCTACACTCCAAACCAGCACTATAGTGACACCTACAGCCAGAAGGGACATCTGGGATGAGACAGATGCCCACCCTGCACTGCATGGGGGTTCTCTACAGGTACAACCTATGATGAGAGGTGGAACAATGTGGGCATTTGCTTTCCAACCCTGACCCAAAATTAGAGGGAGCTTGGAAGCCCATACACAAGAAACAGAACCCGAACAGAATGAATCCAGAGCAGCGGTGCGAGTGGCTAATGGAGAGCCAATGACAGCAGGCAATCTAGCAACTGCAATTCTAGCAGCAACTGTTGCAGCAGTGGGCTGCTCAATAACAGTTGCAGACAATGGCCCAGGAGGAAGCCCTATAACAAAACCTGGTACCACAGTTACTGATAGAGCTACAGCCTGCCAGGGCAGCCACAGGTCTGGCAGTTGGGGCTCATGAGCCCAGGGCCTGTGCTTCCACCAGCACCCCTGAAGCCGACTAAAATGGAGCCTGATGATGACCCTGAAGGTTTCTCTTCCACTTTTGAGCAGGTGGCAGGTGCCTCCCAGTGGCCTTGAAAGCACTGGGTCTTTGTGATGGCCCCCTTCCTGACTGGCCCAACCCACACACCCTACCAAGGGCTTGATCCTGTGGCTGCATGGGATTACACACTGATTAAGGCTGCCATCCTGGACTTGCTTGATATCAGTGAGGAGATGCACTGCTGTCACTTCCAGACAGAAACTTATCCCCAGGGAGCTCAACAACGTGCAGTGGCCCAAAACCCAAGGATCCTTGCTGGTGGTAGTTACGCTGGTGGAGCAGAGTGGAGTTTAAATTAATAGAACCAAATTGATACTGATGGAGAATTCAAACAAATACTCCCCACTGTGGGATGAGAGGAAATACTCGGGGACTTTAACTGATGCATTCCAGTTGATGGAAAATGTTATGTCAACTAAGGAATCCCCAGAGATGGGAAGGGGACAATTGAATGCTAAGAAGCTCACATGGCCGTATGTAAAGCCCAGTCAGGGGAGAGCACCTTCTGGTCAGGAACAAGTACCCTCATCTTCAGTCTTCAAGATGCCCAGCCTGAGCCTCTCAGACACTCGGGGGGGTTAGGAACCCAGCCCCCTTCAGAGAGATGATTTACTATTGTGCTCTCCAAGGAACAGTGGGATGAGCCCAGACTGTGGGCTGCAGGATTATTTCGTTTTCCTTTTCTTTTATTTCAGACTGCAGTCATACCCATGAGAGGGGAAACACATGGAGGCTGCACTCCAATTCAGTGCCACAGTGACACTAGAGCCAGAGAGGGTCATTGGGGATGAGAGAGAGGCCACCCTCATACCAAGGGGATGCAGTAGCGGTACCACCTAGGACAGCAGAACTATTACTTTACTTCATGTGAAAAGGCATGGCAATTAATGTAATTCACATCTTCAGTCTGTTTATTTTCACAGACCTCATTGCCATAGTCTTACTCCCATACTAAAGCTTTGCATTAAACATGCAATTATCAGATTAGCTTCTGAAGTCCTTTGATTCTGAAACTGCTCCCTTACAACAGGCTTGTCCATGTAAAGCTGGCAGCAGTGCAAGATTTCTTGCAAGCACTTCCATTTATATATTGCCACCTACACCTTGAGGAAAGTGCTCTGTGGTAGTATGATTTCAAAATGAAGGACTTGATCCTGCCTTAACAGTGGTTTTTACACCGGTATAATGTTGTTGAGCTACAGTTACTTCCAACTTACACTAGTGCAAGTTAGAACCAAACCAGGCTCCAAGTCTACCATCAATATTTGGTTCATCCTCTGTTTGGAAGACGGGGGATGGACTTAATGATCTAATAGTTCTTTCTATCTAACTTCTATGACTCATTTCATATATGGTCACAGAGACAGTTAGTGACTTAGACAAGGTGCATCTCTGGCATAGCGAGTATCTGATAAGAGGCCTGCAGCCATGGGAAGGCTGGATGCACCATGACAGCAAAGCCACTTTAACTGTTTCTCAATATCTTACTGAGACACAACTTTTTTTCACATTTTCATAACAAGATTTCCTATAATCTATTAAAAAAAACCATATAATATATATATATTGCTCCCCTGGGTCAGATTCTGCTTTCAAATACACCAGTATAAATCCAGAGCAATTCCACTGATGTCAACAGAACTGTTCCAGATTATCACTGATGTAATTCAGGTCAGTTCTTGGCCCAGAATATGTAGTAACTCCATTGACATCAGTGGTGTCACTCTGGATTTACACATGTAAATGGGATCAGAATTTGGTCCTCTGATTCAGGGCTTCTGATAAGGAATGGAAGATGTAGGATGCTAGAATAAACAGATCTAATTTCAAATAGCAAGTTTGGGGTTTTTTATTGCATTGTATAAAAAACTCTGTTCCCTCTCCCTGTGTCTCTCTGACCCTCTGTTAATTCAGAACACAACATGTATAGATCAAAAGCTTTGCACTATAAGTAAGATGAGATATTGTTCCACTCACAGCTCTTGAAAGCCAGAAATAAGAAAATATTTTGTATCAACAGGTCTGTGTGGAAATCATTCACAATCAATGTCTTACCTGATGAGTGAGCTCTTCCTCCTTGTCCATCTCCAGCACATTCTGGTTCAAGTCACCATAAGAAATGGTAACTGCCTTGTAATAAAATTGCACCCAGTATTTATAGGTGCAGCTACAATAAAGGTTAGTTTGAACAGAGTTTCTATAGGTTCTTTTCCCAGAAATCCATGGCAGATGATGAACAATAAAAAGCAAACCCTCATGTGTCATGCCAGTTTGCTGGAATAGTGTTAAAGTAGTTAACTGACAAATGCACATTTCTAGCTGACTGCCTGAAAACAAAAGAGAACTGAGCATAAAACTGTTTTGCTCAACTTTTTCCCCCACAAAAGGTTTTTGTTATGCAATGAACCATTTTTATTCTGGAATAGAATCTATTGTTAGACTCCTTAGAGGTAAAACCTTTACTGAGCATTCTAACAACAATATGTTGTTGAGGCACATAGACAGAAATTTGAAAGGAAAAGCACATTGCAAGAACAGAGTGTAGCACCAGATTGTAATTCTGAGTGCTTGTGTCACTCATTAATGTTGAAGCATTTGGTTATTTCTGCTTTCCCCCCATAAAAAGACTTCCAAGATCTGTCAGAATTCAGTGCTTGCTCAGCTACCCATTTGCATGGTCTCTTATTCATAACATACACACAGTTCTTTCTTTTCCCCATGTGTATCTTTAATCGTTGGATTCCAACATTGCAGAACATAGCACAGGCATTGTCAGGAGGCGCCTTCCACTTAACTATCTCCACTACACCCAGCTCATGCTTCAAGTGCACCCCTTACTTCCTGTTCCAACCAATCATATAATCTTTCTCTGACTGAGCTAATTAACTCATTAGGTCCAGCCATTGCTCCCAAGTGTCAACAATCCCCACCATGACAGGTTAATTAATTCCAATGAAGCCTGTAATCTTCTCTTTTATGAAATTCCCTAAGTGACCAAGGTGCTACCAGTGCTCTGAGCTTGTCTCTCTCACCAACTGAAGTTGATCCAACGTCTACACTACCCTCCTCCTTCTCCTCCTCCTCCTCCTCCTACTACTACCCTCCTACTACTTCAGATCAGCGGACAGCAATCGATCCAGCAGGGATCGATTTATCGCGTCCAGTCTAGATGTGTTTCAGAGTAGCAGCCGTGTTAGTCTGTATCCGCAAAAAGAAGAACAGGAGTACTTGTGGCACCTTAGAGACTAACAAATTTATTAGAGCATAAGCTTTCGTGGACTACAGCCCACTTCTTCGGATGCATATAGATGTGCTAAATCGACCCCGAGCCCTCTCCCGTCAACTCCTGTATGCCAGCACGGCGAGAGGCACAAGCAGAGTCGACGGGGGAGCGGCAGCAGTCAACTCACCATGGTGAAGACACCATAGTAAGTCGATCTAAGTATGTCGACTTCAGCTACATTATTCACGTGGCTGAAGTTGCATAACTTAGATCGATTGCCCCCCCCGCCAAGTGTAGACTCGGGCTAAAATATTCCCTCACCCACCTTTGTCACACTTGCACATAGATTTTTCTTCATTGTTTATTAGACTGAAAAGGAATTCAAAGGATAATGTTTAATTGGAACTTATGCAAGGTCCTCTAGCTGAAGAGGAGAATATTGTGAGTGGACAGTACAATACAAAACTTTGCGGAGTACATGCCTGCTGACAGCCACTCAGTGACCTGGTTTCATAGTGTGTAACCATTATGCTTAATTCACAGTTCAAATTCAATATAATTGATTTGAGATATTGTTTTTATAAGTGGAATTAAAACTGTATTTGTGAAATTGAACCCGGAGATGACTCAGATCTGTGGAAAATGGGGGGTGGGGAGAGTAAGGGCAGCAGCTTCAGCAGATTTTACTGAGCTTGCTCAGTCCATGGGAGCATGCTCAGAATAAGCCAAGCAGCAACTTGGGGGGTGCATGCCCCCCCCGAATGCATCGCCTCTGACTGAGCCCATAAAAATAGTAACTAAGGCCCTGCGCCAGCAAAAAGCTTAAGCACCTACCTAACTTTGAGCTCATTGACTCCAACAGATTATTTATTTGCTTAAAGTTCCATATGTTTTGATACATCTGTGTCTATCCAATGTAATTTAAACAACTTATTACACTGCAGAGTAAGATTTGCTGCCTCCCCTCATCTCTTATATGTGTCCCCAGTGTAGTGTGCACCCCACTGTGTCACTTCCCCACTCTGTGTACTGGGATAAGGGGAAGATGACTGCTGGGGTACAGGCAATGGGTCTGTAAGCCTCTGTTTGTGGGGCTTGTGAGCTCTGCCCTGTGTGCATCCATTTACACCTTAATTTCAAGTGCTACAGTAAAGTGTTTACCTGGCCCTGCTTAGCTTTGAGATGTGGTGGGATCCACAGCTCAGGGCCTAATTCTTTTCTCAGGTAAACTGGTGAAACCCATATGCAGTCAAATGATAGAGCTGCTCTGGATAACAAAGCAAAATTTGCCCCACAATGGTTTGGCAGAAGGCTTAGCCACAGTCTTTATCTGTTCTTTCTGCATATCCCTATTGCTGCATGAATTCTATAGCCAAATAATTATTCATCAAGTCTCTTTTTCCATGCTTCCCTTAGGAGAAGCATTCATTTTCTCATAGAATTGTTGTTGCTATCTAGGGGCTGGTCCACACTAACCCCCCAGTTCGAACTAAGATACGCAACTTCAGCTACGTGAATAACGTAGCTGAAGTCGAAGTATCTTAGTTCGAAATACAAGGTACTTACCGCAGGTCCACACACGGCAGGCAGGCTCCCCTCTCGCGGAGCAGGAGTACCGGCGTCGACAACGAGCACTTCCGGGATCGATTTATCGCGTCTAGACAAGATGCGATAAATCGATCCCAGAAGATCGATTGCTTACCGCTGAACCCGGAGGTAAGTATAGACGTACCCTAGGTATTACTTTCCAGATGGGATTTATGGAAAGTGCCCAGAGTGGAGTGGAAGAAATGCAGAAGACATTCTGATTCTTAGAGGTTGTCTCCTGCAGTGCATCTATTTTATTACCAGCTGATATAAATCTCTAGTTTATAGAATTGCATAATTCTTTCCCTTGACTGGTAAAGTAACATTTCACTGCACAACAGCATTCCAACAGTCTTCTGACTGCAGGCAGGAGAGAAGCAGCCTTGCCATACAATAGCATAGGAATTCCTTCCATTCCAGATCCACGCATTTAAACATTTATTTTAGTTAATGACAGCACTTTTGTAGGTAGTGAGCATTTTTACCATATTTTTGATACACATGGATGACATGGCTGTGATACTTGCCTAACAGGAAAAGGAAATTATTGGTGGTTGGTTATTTAGGTGTTTACACTGTGCTAAAAACCATAAAGGAACAGATGGAATTGTGTCTGCCCCCATTGAGTTTACTAAAGGCCCATTCCTGCAAACATGATCACTGCTTTCTATTGCAAGTAGTGCCACGATTTCAGTGGGATGTGAGGGGTCAGCCATTCTCATATGTACATCAGCCTCCTCCAGCCTCTCCCACAAATATTATTTGTTTTCGTGTTCAGGTATCTGGGGATGGGGAAAGAAGAGAAGGGTAAGATTCTTAGCTGATGTAAATTGATTTCAGTGGAACTATGCTGATCACACTAGCTGAGAATCTGGCTCAGAGATTGAAGCAAAGGCCTCTGATGTGGACCATGACAAATATAGCATATGGTATTCATTAATTTTGTCGCCTATGTTACTCACATCATTATGGATAATGACAGGTTTCAGAGTAGCAGCCGTGTTAGTCTGTATCTGCAAAAAGAACAGGAGTACTTGTGGCACCTTAGAGACTAACAGATTTATTAGAGCATAAGCTTTCGAGGACTACAGCCCACTTCTTCCGATGCATATAGAATGGAACATATATTGAGGAGATATATATACACAAATATATGCTCTAATAAATCTGTTAGTCTCTAAGGTGCCACAAGTACTCCTGTTCTTTTTGCGGATACAGACTAACACGGCTGCTACTCTGGAAACTGTCATTATCCCTAATGATGTTAAGAAACT